ACATCTGGTGAAAATTTCATGTCATTAGCACCTCTAGTAATATATTTACTGAGAAAAATGGTGACGTGTTCAGTAATTATTTTACCCGCTGTATATATCTGTCCAACTTTATTTTTGATCACTTCTGTATCATTTTACCTCCTCCACACTATGGAGCAATCACAGAAGTATTACAGAATGTTGGTGTAAATATCAGTTTAAGTTTGAGAAACATTCAAATCACTCCTCAAACTAAAAGCTAGGAGAACTTAATGACCCCACTCTCTGAGGTCCTTAACCTAGCTGGAGCTCGGGGGTTATGGTCATGAGCCTTACAAAGTACCTTCAACCAAACAGTTAGACAAACTCTCTGAGGGTTTGAAGCTCCGTCAGTCCCACTACAGATCAGTTCTAAGGATCTGTGTGTTTGCCTTTATACTGCCTGGGTAATGATACAGCACGTGGTTGACTCAACATTACTTTGTCATACACAGAACATTTAACAACAAATATTTACTCAGCCAATCACTGAACAGTTATATCAGCCAATCACTGAAGAGTTTATGCGTGTTATTAGTGTTCATTTCACATGTTGTATAATTTCTGTTGGTTTCTCTCTTTACAGTTCTTATATTTCTCTTCTACTTTTTCTTTTTCTTTCTTACCATATTATTATATTAAAAAAGCCACTGATGATGCAGAAATTAAGAAACTAACATTCAGTTTTGTTTTCTACTGAAGTGGCAAAATAAAAAAAATAGAAATAAAAAAGACCATTAATGACTAGGGTTATGGAAAATGTCTGGGTTAGGCATGAATGCAGTTACAAAAATGAATGGAAGTCAGTTTAAAGTCCTCAGTTTGATGAAAGTACAAGGATGTGTGTGTGGGGGGGGAGGGGTATGTACTTGTTTTTGTTACCTATTTAGGGCTGTTTCTGGTATACACACCTACCTTGTCAAGACCAGCAATGGGGACCAAAGACTGATCCTAATATGGTGGAACTCCATTTTTGGGTGGGAGGTTAGGATTAGGACCATGGTTCAGGTTAGTTTTAGGGTCAGGTAAGTTTCTGTGAGGTTAATTTTAGAGTATATGGTCAGGGTTAGGCTATAAAGTCTAAAAAACAAGAATGGAAGTCAATGGAAGGTCCCCACGGGGTCGAGAAACAAACTTGTGTGTGTGTGTGTGTGTGTGTGTGTGTGTGTGTGTGTGTGTAGAGGGTGAGATTTAAGTAAAAACCTGTCTGACAATAATATACTTCACACTTCCTCTTCTTGAGGTTTGATCCATTTGACAAGATAAGTTTTAATTATGGTAATTTGTTAGTCGATAAAAACGTAATAATCATGATGGAGATAAAATTAAACTGGTGTCGCAATTGAAAATGTAAAACACTTGGTGTCTGAATCATGGAAGCAGAAAAAAAGATAATGGTTTTTTAACATAATGAGTGGTTTGTGGATATTTGTGTTATAAGAGATAATAGTGCTGATAAAAACAACCTGAATACTCAGAGGATCTTAGCTGAGCAGCACAGAGAAAAGAAGACGTTTGGACTGAACACAGACTCTGTAAACCCTCTGCCTTTAAAGAAAAACAAACTTCTCCTTAGTCTGCAGCTGATGAGGCAACACATTCTCCCTCCCGACTCGTTACATATTGACACTTTTCCAAGGTTCCCTCTGCGTCTTATTTTGACGCGTCGGGTACCCCCTTTGTGTCAGTTATTGACACATCAGGCATTTCCGGGTTCCTCGGCATCCAGTTTTGACGCGTTGGGACGCAAAATATAGGGGTCTTTGAGTTGGGGTCCATGGTTAATATTAGGGATCAGGGTTCATGGTTAATTTTAGGTTGTGGGGTCAGGGACAAGAGTGATAAAGGTAATTTCAGGCTTTGTGACGGTTAGATTTGTGCATTTTCTACACTTTCTGAAATGATGACAACAGATTCCTCCCCATGTCGTTAATGAATGACGTGAGGGGGTACCCGATGCTTCAAAACCAGACACAGAAGGAACCGTGGAAAAGCGTCAATATGTGACGAGTTGGGAGTGAGAATGGGCTGTGTTATGGCAATATTTATTTAACAAAGACAGAAATACGTGGTCCAAGAATGAAGGTACTCCGTGAGATGGTCAGCTGAGTTTTATTGCAACAACAGGAAACACAGAGAACAACCTGGCCTGTCTCTGTGCCTCTTCTTCTCTCTGTCACTGTCTCTCCACACTACTCACTGTGTCTCGAGAGGCCTCACATATATATATTAACAAACACCATTATGCCATCTTAGCAAGATTTGATACAAGGTCAATGGAAAACACAAAGATAAACACAAGTGATATCTAAGAATGATTATTATTGTTAGCAAATCTTGCTCTGACTTTAATCATTCTGTCTGCAGATGAACAGCATGTCATGAAAACCTAGGTCATTAAAGGATGTCATGAATTACTTGCTTAAACATAAAAGTATTAGTTCCATTACAGGCTGGAGGAGGAGTAGTAGTATTTTTACATTCTGAAAATAGACTATTCCTATTATTAAGCTTATTCAACATTGACTTGCAAATAAAACACAGAAAAAGCAGATATTTGTAGCCTTGCAGTAACATTTAAAAGCCTTCTGACCTTTAAGATACAATCTTTCAGGTCAGCTGGAGTCCAAGAAGTCTTCAGATAAACGGGTCTGAGCAGCACTTAATAGGCCTTCTCTGCGATGCTATCAAGCACTCTGCATCCGTCTGAGCCACTCGCTTCAAACTGGTCATGCTTGGTACCGTTTGCCCCCCCCCCCCCCCCCTGCAGGGATTTTGGCATTCTCCTGGGCGGGCGACAGCTTGCTGCCCCCCCTCCCCCACCCCAGTGTCACCAGTGAGAGGCTTAAGACCACCACATCAATACAGACATTAGAACAGGAGCAGGATTAGGTCAGGCTAGACTGGGTCTGAATGAATGTGGCAGTGAAAAGCCATCGGAGCTTAGAAAGTACAAGACTGAACGTCAATAGAGTCACTACTGCCTCTATTAACCCAAAAAATGAGCAAGGGACACGTTGAGGCTCGAGTGTAATTTAGGAGAAAATAATTTCAGATTTATCATCATACAAAACAATCAAAACTCCAATTATAAAAAAAGATTAATATTTTGATTCTATGCCAACAACACAAAATATTAAGAGGTACTGTTGCTGCAACACTGTTTTCCCAGTATAAACACTTCAAGCACCGTTGCTTCAATCACTTTTTCTCCACATGAAAAGGCAAAGGAGTGGAAAATAAATAAAAAAAAGAAGAAGAAGAAGCCAATTCTTCACGGCTCCTCAGAAGTAGGCCAAAGATAGTCCCCGAGGGATCCTGAGGGAGTGGGGGGCTACGGTACGTGTGAGTTGCGTGATTGGCTGCGTGTGCGGTGCCATCGTATTTGACGGTTCAAAGAGCCCACATGGGGGGGGGGGGGGGGTAGAGCGATGAACAGAATTTAATGGAAAATCCAAACATCTGATGCTTCACGCCCAGCATCACTTCACATCAAACGGACCCTGGACCGCGCAGGTGGCTTCCTCAAGCCTGTCAAACTATTCTCTGTGAGCGTCTCTGTATGGTTTGACAGGCTTGATTCGACATGATAAGTCAGATCAAAGGGGATCAGTTTTTAAATACACTGAACAGGTGGTAATTGAGCCCACCATGTTCTACCAGTTGTGCTTTCTCTGTCGTTGTTGTGTAAAAACAATAACAACTTCCTGTTTGTACTTTGATCAGGACAGAAAACAGAGGGGCGGTTTTAGAAAGCCTCACCAGAAGCGCAGTCCTCCTCGTCCGCCCCGTTCTCGCAGTCCTTCTCCCCGTCACATCTCCATGACAACGAGACACACTTGTTGGTGGATCCTCCGCAGTCGAATTTCTCTGGAGGGCACGTCTGTTTGCCTGTGGAGCCAGATCAGAGCGACAAGAAGATTACTGCGGTGAATTTGTGGTCCCGGCGACACACGACTGGACCTGATTCTATCGGCCGAGCTGACGCAGAAAAAAAAAAACAATCCTCAACCCTCCTTCTTTTCCGTCCCGTCTGTTCTAGTTGGCAGAGAGTAAATTTGATCCTGATTAGTGTGGTTAATACGACACATGTTGTTAATTATAAATCCTAAAGCTTCCAGAGTGAAATGAGGCTCAGCACAAACACATTCGACATGTTGTCATAAAAACTCTTCCAATACTACACTAAATCTCTTAAGTGTAAAAGTACTCTGTTTTTTAACTTTTACACAATTCTTTCCCATGACATGAATAAGTCAATAGATGTACAATATGAAATTACTGCAAGGGAAAAAAAACAGTGGGGGTTAAGAGTGTGGTCCCCTCCCGAATTCATAAAAACTAAACAGTCTACAGTATTTTTGTGATGAATTCTTTTTAGAAAAGAACCAGACATATTTTTGAGCCTAAACAATCTTTACACTGAATAAAACTACATCAATAAAAGATGTACACTGATACTCATAAACACAGCGCGTAAAATAAGTACTGAACACGTCACCATTTTTCTCAGTAAATATATTACTAGAGGTGCTAATGACATGAAATTTTCACCAGATGTCGGTAACAACCCAAGTGA